TAAGACAATATGAAAGCATCTGACTTACAACCAAGTATTAATTTACCCATAGCTTTCACAATTACTGAACTTCAACCATTTTACTTATTTTATTTTATTGCATTATTGATTTTTTCCCTAACTTCTATTAAATTGATAAGTTGTTAAATAGAGGAAATTATCATTACTTGTCTTTCCCTAGCAAAATAAAAGAATTCTAGTTTCTATAATTTTGTACAAAATTAATTTAGAATCATGTCTCATATTAATTGGTTTTATCATAGACCACTGGTTCTCTTATTTCACTCTCTTCTCTTAGATTTGATTCATATTATATTAGTTTTCTCACAGCAAGTTATCTTTTCAGAAAGGACTTAGTCATAACAGACATTGAGCTTCTTCCTACCCTAAATTAACTTTATTTGTGCTCATACTTGCATGTTCATTTGACTGTCTGCAAAGTTCTACATTTAATACCCTTTTCCTTCAAATATTGGAGAGTTTGGTTCACTGCTTTAAATATTTCTCTCCTCGAGCTGAGACATGACACTTCTTCCTTTTTTTTTTTTTTTTGCACTAGGGATTGAACTCAGGACTTTGCACTTGCAAGGCAGGCATGGTGCCACTGAGCTAAATCCCCAGCTTGACTTGATGTTTCTTTGATTCTTTTCTTCCCTTGTGACATGCTTTGTTCTTTGAAAGTATCAGCAAGTCTATCTTATCTGTGCAGTTCTTAAATGTTATTAACATGTATCTGGGTTTGAATCTACTTTTATTCATTTTGTTCAGGTCTTAATTGTTCATGTCAAACTTTGGGCTAATTTATTTGGTAGCTTAGTTATTTACTTCACTCATTTCTCTCTGACTCTTTTGTTTGGAACATGGTATCCCACAAGATAGTTACTGTATATATACACACAAAGAGTATTTCATATACACATATGTATATGAAAAAAACATATTTTTCTCTAGTTTTTTTGAATCTTCATTCCTCAGTATTTTGTCCATTCTGTTTTCATCATAGATACACATAAATAATTCCATGTGTTTTCATATGTACAAAGAATTTTTGTAGTCAGTTTTTTAATTTTATTTTTTTCCAAATATATCATCTCTTTTCTCTATTATTGTTATATTAAATTATGTTTATCGCCTACTAACTCTCTTTTCTTCATGATTTTGTTTTACAGAATTAATTCTGGTGCCTTCATTTCATAGCTTGGATTTAATACAAATATTTGATGATTCTCAGTTGTCCATTTACACTTCTGCAGAAGTCTTAGACTGAAGATTTTCATTTTTCATCCCAAATAAGAATCCTTCTTACTCTGTTGAAGAAAACAAATACTAATAAGAGTTTTACTCTGGGCTTCTCAGAGAAAGTTTGACATGTGTGGTGTAGGGAGTATGATGAGCTCATTAAGAGGGGTATCACCTGCATCCTATCCAGAAAGTCCCTGGCTCAACATTTGCTATTTCTTGGGTGGACCCCTCATAAGAACAGATCTGTAAGTACAGATTTATGTTGGATGCAGTAGCAAGCACCACTATGCACTTTCTTTTATTTGCTCCTCCACACTTTTTTTCTGGTATGCTTTTCTTTGATTTTCAATTCCCCAGATTAGCTCAGCTTCTGAACACATCATTACAAATTCTTTAGGAAGTAGACCTTGAGGTTAAGTGAAGAATAAAATATTTCTGATGTTGATCACCATTATGGCTTGTATCTAGATTTTTCCCCAAAGCCTCATACAGTCATAAGTGGGGCTTTTTGGAGGTGGCTGGAATTACAGTATGTGCTGCTGGGATCAAGGATGTGACACTGGAATTAATTCATGGTGCGATGACAGGATTAAGGCTGCCTCACCTGGGTGTGAGTGCTACCCACCTTAAGGGTGCATAACCTGCATAAGATATAAGGGTCACTGCTTGTTGCTTGTAGCTTGCTGCTTCTGCCTTGCTGCCTTCTTCCAGCCATGAATGTTTCCTCTCTGCTGTCCACCCTGCTCTGGAGTCAGCCAACAGTGAACCGAAACCTCTACAGACTGTGAGTCAAATAATCCTTTCTTCCTTTAACTTTGGGTGGTAGGTATTCTGTCTCAGCAATGAAAAAAGTAACTAAACAATTGCCCACTACTGATGGATCTTGGGATAAATTCTCAGATATAATGCTTCTGGATACACCACTTACGTCATTCAGATGATGCCTGCTCTCTTACATTTTTTGCAGGAGTCTAGATTCAGTAATTTGACTTTCTTTCCACCTGCATCTATGAGGAGAATTGCTTTCTTTTGCCTCTTTTTTTTTCTTTGTTTTGGGCTGAAATTTACCTTATTTGGTCCTTGGAGGATTATAATTCTGCCTTTTGTCTTAACAGCTCCAGTTTGCTGGACAATAAGGGAAGTAGGTATGGGCTCCATTCTCCAACATGATTCAGATTCCCCCAGAGCAGCTGTTACTCACACAGCACTTTTGGCTCTCACCTCAAGACTGTGTTAAAAGACAGTTTCTTTCAATTTTGAAGAACTCCAATTGTTAGAAACTACCATGAAAAGAATAATGATTCCAGGACACTGAAAGATTGAGGCAGAAGTCTACTGATAACATTCATTTTATCCCTCTACCTTTTCATTTAGAAGCATTCTCTTTTATCTTTAACAATACAGATGCTTTGAAGGATCTTGCCTTCTCTTTATAGATCAGAAGGAAGCTCTTCAATTTGAGAGACTTGGCAATGAAAAGTGTGCCTTTCTTTATTTTTAATGTTATATTTAGAAGAAACCACCATGTGTAAGAAAATGTGCAAAGAAAACTAAGTAGCATCACAGAATGAAAAATAGAGCACTACTCCTTTCTTAGTTCATGAACATTTGAAATCAGATGGCTACCAAAGTTCACAATTTCTAGAAATCTACTTACATAAACATTATATAATTTGTGGACCAACTGCACACTTTGCCTTTAATGAATGAGCAGTTTTCAGGCAATCATTAGTGTACTACAATGACATTTCCCTCTCAAAAAACTAGATACAGACCATTCTGTGCAAATGTATACAGCATCACAGAAAAGGGGCAGGGATAGTGGGAGGGGCAGGGGAAAGGAAAAAATGATGAGAAATGGAAAAAATGGAAATAAAGTCTTTGTAAATAGGGAGGGGTGGAGGGTGTGAAGGGAGGGCTAGGAATGGGGAAAAAATAAGAACCAAGATGCATTATATAAAGGTACAATTCCCAATGAGAAATGTAATTGTGTTGTATACCTACAATGTACCAATAAAAGAATTTAATATAAAAAAAATTACCATGTGAGAGTCTCCATTGGCTGTAGATGTCCCTTTAAAATTGGCAGCATTCTGGATTTTCACAGGAACATAATTTGAGGAAATGGAATTAAAGAAAACAGAAATCTTACCTGGTCAAAAATAAAGGGAATAACAATATCCTAACAATTCCTTTCAGAAACAGCAAGACTCAAGCACTGTAAAAACATACTTGCAATTTCTTAGAACTTTTTAAAAGTCTCAAAAATATAGAAAATAATGATAAATATCAAATTGTTTTCAGCTGATAGCTGAGTTCACTGCCTACTGTGTAACAGTAAAGAGAATCAGTATTCATATGTTATTCAAATGGTATTTGTTGAAACTATTTTATACTCAGTGCTGAAGAAGACAAAAAAGAAGTGCCCACAGCATGTACTATGGTTTTGGCCCTCAAGTATTTGGAAGTCAAATAAGAAAGGAAAAATAAATGTCAAAAAAGAGAATTAATTCTGAACGATAGAAGACAGAGACCAAAAAAATTACCAAAACTTGTCAAAATAGGTAAACTCATGTCAGTCACTAAGAAAAAAAAAAAGGATTTTTTTTCTAGAAATTTCCATCAAGGAAATGATCAGGTGTGGTGTCAAAGAGGTTTCCTATAGTTTTAATAATGTTATGTTTTATAATTTAAAGTAGTCAAAGGTCAAATAGTTAAAGAAATGTAGGACAAGCTGGGGATACACTATTATACAACATTTAAAATAGCATTTGGAAAAGTTTTTTCTCAGTAGTCTGGAATTCTCTTCTCCTTTTCCCTCACTAATCTTCCAAAAGACTGCTAATAATTATGCAATTATCTTAGAAAATAACTAAAGCTTCTAGAGCAATCTACTCCTACTACTGAATTCTTTAAATTTAGCTTCAAAAATATTTCCTCATATTTTTAATATCTAACTTTTTCTATCAAAACTGATTCTAGCACACTAGTGAGAATTCAGCCATTTCTAAGCAATTTCCTCACAGGTTATGTGAGAGACAGTACCTTTTATTTTTTGTTTGTAGTGATTTCTTTATAAGTTATGGTCTTTTGTGATCTCAAACTTTAATTGCCTATTTTTAGCAAAATAAATTCAAGAAACCACATCACCTGGGTCAACTTATGTGTTCTGAGTTTAATTTCTCATTACACTGTCAGTTTCATAATGTCTATTGATAAATATTTTGCAACATCTGGGCTTCAAAGCTTATGCACTATGGTCACCACTATGCAAAATGTTCCCCAGTTGGCATGGGTAGTTAATAGCCTCTTCTAGAGGAAGATTTAGATAGGATCTCGAAGATCTGCCCATGACCGGCACTGCAGAGAGATGAAAGGAACAGTATTAAAATCTGTGAATACACCCAACTCTAGGAGGAATCTATACCAATGCATTAAACAAACGGCTACAAATCAAAAGACATCTAGGTGCTTAGAAGACAGAGAACTCATATTTACTTTGCTGTTCTTTTAATGGAACGTAGAGCATTTAAAGTAACATATGAAAAAACTTAAAGCTATTCTTGGTACCACACATGGAAGACTCTGTGTATATATGTGTGCGTGCACATTCATGTGTGTGTGTGTGTGTGTGTGTGTGTTTAAAGGGAGAGAAAGAGATTTAGAGATTTAAGTGAACTGTAATGACCATGTTAAACACCAGAGGAAGAGAAAAATCTCTGTTTACGCAAGAGAAAGCATCGGAGCTGAAAAAACTGACCAGAGTTTGACAGTGGAGATTGTTCTAGTGGATATTCAAGCCAAGAAGATCTGAGGAATCATGACTTGATCTGTGAATATTACGGTTCCGCACAGTGAACACGCGACAGCCCTATTTCCTGCAGCCTGAGCCTGCCCCTCTGCTGTGAGCCTCACGCCAGCAGCAGCTGAACCGCAAAGCTACCAGCTCCTCAGCCCGCGGTAGAAGCGGGTGATTTGCCTGTCCCAGGCTCTGGACCTTTCCAGCCACAGTGAGGAAAGCAAATGCTGCCTTCCTTGCACAACCCTCAGGGCTTTCTTGGCGTTTCCCTCCGCTTCACAGCAAACGTCGGCAAGGCAAGCAGATCTTCTCGCATTTTGGGGACCAGGTGCCGCGCTGGGCACTGCAGCAATGGCTCGGGCCCTGACTGAGAAGTGTTCACCTCGGGTTTCACTGGAGCCAGAGTGGCTACAAGTGCTCTTTTCATGCTAAAGCCAGCAAGGATCGGGGTCCACGGTTTGTAAATACGTGTCTGTTTGTCTTGGAGTCCTTGGGATGTTAAAACAATAGGAAACTGTAGCAAAGACTGGCTATTAGCCGCTGAAATCACAGGCAAGAATTTGAAATGTGTGGTTCGCGGTGGTGGTTCATTTTGGTAAAACATGAGTAATATTTCTTCACCAAATATTTAGGTAAACCAAGATTGTTTACTTGACGGTGGGTTCTAAAAGCAGCGAGAACTAGGAGGTTTCTCTCACACATCTCTGCCTCATGCTTCCTGGTGCCTGATTGCCTAAGCGAAGAGAATCAATCTCCAGGTGAAAGGAACTGCAAATTTTGAGGTCGCTTTTACATTCTACCACAAGGAGCATTTCAATCTCTAAATGCTTTATAAATTAAAACATCCTCCGTCAAAAAAAAAACCACTCAACTCATAAATGTGATCACGTTTAGTTTCTTCCCACAGCTTTAATCCTGTGGTCTAAATAACCGTAATTTTGAAGGCCCATTCTGCTGAGAACATTTTCTCGGCCCAATTTAAATTTTCCTGCTTTATACCAAATTGCAAATGTACCATCTTCCACTCTTTTACTGTTTTAGTTACTGTCTTTAGAGCATTTGATATGCTTATATCTTATTGTGAATTCTACTTTATGAGGGCTGTCATTAGAAAATTGTTCTCTTCACAGTGTCATGTGCCCACTGGTGCCAGAAAATGTGACTTCTGGATTCTACTTAGGTCTTCTCCAAAGTTGTATGTCTGCCTTATAAAAATGCACAGCTCATATTACATGATTCATCATAATTATGGTTAATCATTTACAGTTTTGCCAACCAGGAAAAATACTTGTTCAGTCTCAAGCAGATTTACACCTGGTAAGATGAATAACAGATCAAATAATTAGGAACTTTGCTATCTATGTCTGCCTCTCTCTCTCTCTCTTTTTATACGTATATATAAATATATGTGCATATACTTATATATGTGTGCATATATATACTTAGAATATACTCTAGATCTCCCCTTTATCTTAATCTGTTTGCAATTTCAAGAAACAATGTCAAATATTCTCACATGGTTTTGTATGAACTATCACTTCAATTGACTATAATAATAATTGAATTTCATACATCTTTAAAAACTCTTAAGGCATTTCAAACCTATACCAGGAACAAAGATTCACATATATGAATATATGTGTATATATTCTTTTAAACTAATCTATTTATTTGTACTTACTAAAACCAGTCCTATAAAGTTAGAATTTTCATTAAAGATTTAATTAAGATCAAAACAATGAAGATATTTGATAGAATGTGGAATGGAAGTACAATTGACTTTTCAAAGTTTTGGCAGAGGCATTATAACCTGTGTTTCTTAGTATTCAAGAGATGCAGACCCCTGGGGAAAACACCTGTGAGTTTCCTGCAGTGCATAAATCCCAGGTTCTGAAACTCTGCAGGATATATCATTGCCGTAAATAAGAAAAAATTGGCAACAAATGAAAAATCCCACTGCACAATGAAACATTACCTGAGTGCTCTCTTTTTGTAAAGGAAACTGAGACAATGCCTAAGAATTGAGAAAAAGTGGCACTGATATCTTTGTCTTTAGGTAAGAAAGGCTACAGAGTTTAGGGACATTTTATCCTGCTTAACTAGAATGCAGGGCGAACTGATTTGAACAGAAACAGTCTCCACTGTGCATGAACTGTAAGGAAGAATTCCTATACACAGAGAACTCTGAGAGCTAATAGAGAAACTGTAATGAACCTGGGTCCTCCCGGTGTGGATATGAAATTGCATGACTAAATGTAATTACTGCTTACTAAAACCTAATGTAACTTTCTAACTCAAATTAAGTTTTTACAAAAATAAATTCAAAAAATGGAGAAATTTCAGACCCCCCCTAAAGAATGATCTAGGTACCATGATGCTAAAAGATTAAATTCCTAGACTCCTATAAATGTGATATGATGAAAATTGACTTTTACCTGTTTCTGTTCTTGCATTACTTTTGTTTCATTTTGTCATTATGGCTCCATTAGTCTTTTCTCTCTCTACATACTCCTCCACATGTCATTATTGTCTGTTTCTTTTAGCCTGGATACTGTAAAATTCTGTGTTGTTGTCACTGTAATTCACAAATCAGTTTTTAAAATTAGGGAACTTTCTAGCTCAAGTACAGAGATTTATGTGAGAAAATCTGAGTGTGTGTTTGTGTGCCTGTGTATGCCCTCTGATTCTACAAGTGGGAAGTTCCGTGCAGAGAATTACTTAATGTACTGTTCGGTTTGCTGCTTGCTAACCAATGCCAAGCCTGTCTTCTCTTACACCCTTACTGCACAGTATCTCCTATAGAAATAGTTTGGAGAAAAGAACATTTACAGAGCCTTCTAGCTTTGCTGTGGAAAAATAATACATGATGTATAGTACCTAGAAAATTCCTACATTACTTGCTGATTGGCCTCATCTTTCAAATATCATCCACCTGAGTTACCAATGTAACTCATTCTCCAACCAGAAACACTTTTCTGAGGCTTTGCTATTTAACAGTTTCAGATCCACTACATTTTGATTACATAAATAGCAAATATATATACACTCAACTTCTCAGAAGAATAAGAGCATTTTTAATTTCTTTTCTTTCTCATTAACTTTATTGGTACATTTTAGGTATACAGTACAGTTTCATTCATCATTGGGATCTTGTACCTTTACATGATGTATCTTGGTTCTTATTTTTTCCACATTTCCCTGCCCTCCCTTCACCCCCGCCACCATTCCCTCTTTACAAAGACTTTGTTTCCATTTTTTTCCTTTTCTCATATTTTTTCCTTTCCCTTCTTTCCTTTCCCCTACTCCTCCCATTTCCTCTCCCCTATAGACCTTTACTTCCTGTTTCATATTATCTATTATACATTTTGATTCTTATTTGCACTTTCAGTTTCTCACACTAGAGAAACTATTCAGTATTTACACATGTGTGTCCTGTTTATTTCACTGAAGAGTATGGCCTCAATGTGCATCCACTTAGCTATAAATGTCTCTAGTTTCTCATTCTTTATGGCTGAGTAGTACTCCATCTTATAAAAAAAAACCCACATCTTCTTTATCCAGTCTCCAGTTGATGGGCAATTGGGCTGTTTCCAAGCTTTAGCTATTACAAATTGTGCTGTTATAAACACAGGTGAGCATATATTGCTGTGGTATGATTCTTTTAATTCTTTGGGGAAGATACCCAGCAGGGGAATAGCTGGGTCAAGTGGGACCTCCAGTCCTAGTTCTTTGAGGTATTTCTGTACTGATTTTCACAGTGGCACCAGTCTGCACTCCCACCAGCAAAGTAGAAGGGTTCCTTTCTCCCACAACCCTATCAGCACTTGTTACTGGTTGATTTCATGTTAGCAGCCATTCTTTCTGGCCTGAGGTGGAATCTCAGTGTTGTTTTCATCTGCATCTCTCAAATGACCAGTGATGTTGAACATATTTTCATATGTTTATTTGCTGCTTGTACTTCTTTGTCTGAGAAATTTGACATTTTTGAGGAAAATAAAGGCTGATATCTTCGTGACTGAAGTTCTGCAAAGAGGTTACCACTGGGTTACACCCAGGAGATCCCAGGGGCTCTCTTGGCATCGGCTGGCAGCTGTCCTGGCATCTGTGCAAGTCTTTCATTCCTTAAGGGGTCTGGACATCAGGACACCACAGGTCATCCACAGAAGCAAAGCAACAGAAGAGGTGGTCAGTGAGGAGATTGGAGAGAACGGGAAATGTCTAGAATTAGATTTCAGCACAGTTCATTATCCCTCAACTCTACCATTATTCAGATTGCACCAATACTTTACATTTCTTTTCTGTGCCCACTTTCTTCATAAACTATCAGGTATGCACTACAGATCTTCAGATGTTTCCCAATATCCTCTCACCAGAGATGGCGAGCCCTTAGTTTCAATGCAAATACATATCTGTGCTATTTGTATGTTACTTGTCATTATTATTTAATTGCCTTTTCTTAACATTCCAACACCTCCACAAACATTTTCGCACTTAAAGTGCTTTCAAGGTCCTATCAAATTTTAAAAGAAAATCTGAAACACTGCTATGGAGACACACCGATAGTGAGAGGTTTAAGACCCAGATTTTAGATCTAGTGTATCTATGTTACAATCACAGATTTACTTCATGGAAGTTCTACAGCATGACCTTGAGAAAATTTCTTAACTTTTTGGGATGTTTATTTTCTTACCAATAATATGGAAATAGTAATAATACTCCATCGAGTTGTAGTAGGAATTAAAAGAATATTTTAGGACAGTGGCCCATAATAAGTGCTCCTGTGGTGTTTGTAATTATCACTAAATAGATAGTATACACCTCTATTGAAAGCTTAAGTTTGTGTGTAATCTCCAATTTTCTAGCTGAAGCTTCAGCTTATTTCACTAGTTGCAAAAATTAGCTTCTAGTGCTTCTGTTTGCAGCTGATAAACCTGACAAATGATGTAGACCTATGCATTACCCTTTCCAAATTTGCTAAATAAGCTACTATATTTAATTGGAATTTTAACTCTTGGAATTAAAATTCAACATTTTTCTTTATGAATACCTAGTCCTCACAGGGTAAATTTTCTAATGTTTCACATAATATTCTTGCTCTGAACTTTTTCAAGTGTTCTCATTATCATATAGAACCGAACTCCAATTGATCTATTTTAATATTTAAGTTTATTCAAAGTCATTTCTCACTGTCAATCTGTAGTTTCAAGTACCACTGTACACTTTCATTTAGCTTAAAAACTATTGCAAAATTGCTGCTTTTTTTTTTCTAGTCATTTCTTTGCTGCTCTTCTGTTATTTTCTTCCCAACTCTCTTCTCATATATCTCCATGGCCCAAATTCTCTCTACTCTTCATAATAATCTAGATCTAGTAACTTTCCCCAGTAAGCCTCCCAGTCTTCTAATACTAAAAGTCATCACTTCCTCTAAAATCAGTAAATGAGTTAACATGTTTTAA